GCTGCCACTGTGCCGGCTAGAGTGGCTTGGATTTTTGTCTAGTAATTCTAATATCTTGTCAGCCTTTTCATACTTTTAAGCAGTTTTTTTTGTTTGTTTGGTTTTTGTTTTGTTTTGTTTTTATCATACTGGTGTTTCCATTCATTCCAATGAATACACAGTGAGACAGACTAGTGTGCCACTCTCAGAATAGATGCTTAGCTGCTTAGCATGTTCTAAAAGTTATCTATCCAAAATGCAGCTTTGGGCTATCAAATATCCTTTCCTTGAGGGTGGGGTGGGGGTGGGGCTAAAGTTATGTTTTAAGTTTAAATTACTGTGCTTTAAAGAGATTCATAAAACAAAATTTTCTCTAACCTATAAGCCCCACTTGCCAAAGGTAAGATAACTTTCTGGAATGCTGGGGGCTATTGTTCATGTAAGATAATAAGCACATATTTTCATTTCTGAAAACAAGGTTGGTTTCCCCAACTGCACAGGATGTATTTGATCACACAGAGGTGGGAGGTACTTAGGCAGGAAGTACGTCAGGACGTATGCTTGCCCTGGATTGGACAAAGGCGGGAAGTGGATTTTGCCTTTATAAGTACTAGACTAACATACTTCGAGGACATTCTCTGGGAATCCCAGGTATGAACCTGGCTACCATCCACCATCCTGGCCAGTATTTAATAAAGCTTGCTTCAAATTTGGCTCAAAAATTGTAGTAGTGATCTTACTGTCACCCAACCGGATTAATAGGAGAAGGGACATTGAAAGGTATCCTTAAAGATCATGGCTCCTCAAAGCCAAAAGCAGCAGGCAAAGGCTAGCTCACTACTCACACATGGATTTCTTACCCCACACATAAACCTGGCTCCATTGCTTGAGCCTCAGCTCTCTGCTCTACCATTCAATTTCAACAACAGCAGGTTCACTTACTCTTTGTGTTCTAGTCGAATGATGTCTCCATGTCTGACAAACTCCACTGGGAATGAAGGATCTAGGGGATCTGCCAAAAAGAAACAAATGTGGCTATCAAGTGAGTCACTCGAATACTAAACTAGAGACAACTGTTGGAAACAGTTACAGTGTTGTGTGATGTGAGCTGACAGTACCAAAAGGTTAGATTTCCAGTCACCTCAAAGGCTGAGCAAAGAGCATCCCAGAAGTAGTGCTTGGAAGATTCTCAAGGAGTAGGGAATTCTGTCAAGTGGACAGGCAGGATAAAGGAATGCATACAAAAGAATCACCAAAGAATAATCCATGCAGCAAAGAGTCTGTGACATAAAAGATGTGGTAACAAATGGCGGTGTAAACAAGTAGAGCTAGACTGGTCATTATGCAAGACTGGCAATACAATCTTTGTCTGGCAAGTACTGAGGCCTCCACTGGAACTTTAGGTGGGAGACTAAACAATGAAAATCTCTTTAGTGAGTAATACAATTTTTACAAAATTAGGTCCATGCAATTGCCCAGCTCTTTTTAAATCAAATTTTATCTCTGTTAATAGACTTCCTAAGCATGAGATAAAAAAAAAAAAAAAACAATGAAATGCTGAGAGAAAAGGGCTCCTTCCTAGGCATCTAGAAGTCAAAACTGGTCATGATCTAGAAAGGTAGCTGCATAGAAAAGTAGCTGGCAGCCGTCACAGCAAGGCAGAAGGCACCCTTGTAAAAGTCTGTCACCAGCACTGAGATGCCAAGATTCTATAAACAATCAAGGTCAGGAAAGCTAAATTTGCTAATGCAAATTATTGGCCGTGAGATCCACCTGCATAGACACCCGTTGCTATGCTGCCTTGTAAACAGGGAAGGAAGTTTGACTTGGTATGGATTAGGGTGAGAGGCCTTCACAGCAAACAAGAACACTAAGATCTTAGACTACAAAGTTCCCAGAAAATCTTTAGCTGCTTAGGTGAAATGCAACCATCTTAGCTTAGAAGCCACAGTAGAAACCAGGCAAGTTCAAATGACTTAGACGTACACCCAGTTTTCCTCAAACTTCATTTTGACAGACCACTTAGTTTGGCTTGCTGTATCAAAAGCATAATCACATCACAAAAGCAATAGCAACATCACAGACTCACTCAAGGGGGGGTAATTTACATTACTGAGCACAAAAATAAGGCAGCAGGAGAGACAGCTGTTGTGTGTCTGGTTTTAGTCTAAAGCAACAATGTGAGGAGATGGCAAGGAAAATAAAGGGAGTTTAGATGAAAATTTGTCCACTTTTCGAGATTTGGAGCAGCTGGCTAATGCCAGCTCAGGCAGGTGTTATTTGCTGAGCAGCCACAGAAAATGCCTGGGGTTCAGATATCACCAGTGAGGATGGGCTGAGGTGATAATTGCCCTCTTATAGCTACAACAGAAAGTTGTTTACAGGTTGCCTTCCAAGGAAAGGAAGTACCTCTTGCTTAGTCCTAAAACCAGAGAGCCCAGCTAGTTTGTGTGTGTGTGTGTGTGTGTGTGTGTGTGTGTGTGTGTATACACATGTGTACATGCGTGTGTGCGTGCATGCATGTTTGTTAAGCAAGCACTAGCTAGGCCCAGGCACAGGGCTGGCAAAGGCTTGGATTATCAAGTAACTCAGCCTAGAGACAAAAAAGAACAGCACTCTATCATTCAGGACAACATCTGGGTTTGGAAATGAAAGCAACTCCCAGGTAACCTCAGATAGCACTACCTAGCAGCCTCTAGGGTGGGCTTACATAACCTCTTCCTGGATGAAAACTGAGTCCTGGCCCTGCTCTGTTTCACTCACTGCTCATCCTCTATATTTTCTGTCTTTGGAACACAACAGGAGCTCAACAGTGTTTAAAAGGATACCTGAGATCAGTAAAGATATCAAAGGTATTCAGGAGCCCAGTATCGTGAGAAAAGTGAAGGGGACTTGGTGAACAACAGCACAAGAACTTCAGTCTCTGCCACATTACCTGTGTTTGTATTATGTTTCTTGATAATCCACAGGTTGTTGTAGTCCTTATGCAAATAGGTGGTAACCTAAGCAGAGGGAAGAAGTGGGGGTCATTATGATCAGCACAGCTGGCCAGGCACAATCCCCAACAAACTGACACCACTTGAACATCTTTCAGGGTCCCCAGTCACCAACTTAGGAGGACACCTTTCCCAGTGAAGCTCAGAAGCAGCACTCCTGAATGAGATTTTCTCCATTTATCAGAATTCAGAGGTCCTACCCCTCAAGAACTTTTTATCTCTTTCTTTCTTCTTTTTGTATCTTGTCAATAAAATGTCAGCTGTCTTGAGGGAGGACCATTATACTGTGTGTTAAATCTCCAGCACAGAAGCAGTAGATTTAGCATATTTAAAAATGATTAAGACAATGCCTTGGGGCTCAGCAGTTAAGAGCAGTGGTTGTTCTTCCAGAAAACCCAGGTTCAATTCCCGACACCCTCATGGCAGCTCACAACTGTCTGTAATTCCAGTTCCAGAGGATCCAACACCCTTACACAGACACACATGCAGGCAAAACACCAATGCACACAAAATAAACACAAATCATTTAAAAAAAACAAAAACAAAAAAAAGCGATAAGCTGGGCCACGATAGGGAAATACACCTGAATTGGTTAAGGTGCTTGCTGCACAGACATCCTCATATTTGATCCCAGCACAAATGTAAGAAAAGGCTGGTGTTCTCAGAATCCTATCACTGGGGAAGTAGAGAAAGGACATGTCATACCTGGGCCTTGCTGGCTAGCCAGTTTAACTAAACCAGTGAGTCCAGGTTAAGTAAGAGTTGTTAAAAAAAAAAAAAAAAAAAAAAAAAAAAAAAAAAAAAAAAGGTGGAAAGTGATTATGGAAGGCACCTGACATTGATCTCTGTCCTCCACACACACAGGCACGCCTGTGAACCTACATCCATGCACACTTACAAAAAAAGCTATTATTTTTTCTTAATATGTTGGTAAATGACACTAAAATGCTCCATAAGTATCTTATCCTAGATGTTCACACTGTTTCCAGGTTTTTACTTTTAGATCAATCACTACATTATAGACATTCACATGCATGTACACACAATTCTTAAAAAAATCAGTTTATGGCTTTGGGTTAAAACTCTAAGATAAGCCAGGTGGTGGTGGCCCACACCTTTAATCCCAGTGTTTGGGAGGCAGAGGCAGGTGGATCTCTGAGTTCGAGGCAAGCCTGGTCTAGAGAGTGAGTTCCAGGACAGCCAGGGCTACACAGAGAAATAGTGTCTTGATACTGTATACATGGGATAGAATATTATACACAAGTAAAAACATTGTTTTTTAAGCAGCATGCAAAGAGGATCATGAGATGCTCCCACTCAGAGTGGCTACTGTGAATCACCAGGCACTATTCTGAGCACCAGGCAAGTCTCACCCTGATCATTCACTGTCAGAGCTCTCTCCTGTAGGTGCTATTTCCCCACAAATAGGGGACAGCCTAGGATATTTGCTCAATGACACAGCTAATGGCGTGGGGAGCAAGGAGAGGACAGACTAAAAATATACACCTTTGCTAGATATGTAAACACACAGAGAAACAACAGAAATACATGCATTTCTTCTGAATTTTTATAACTTCAACTGGACACAACATGACTAATTTACTTGCAAAAAGAAGTTGGAACTAACATTTATGGGGAGAAAATCACTCTGCATGTACTATGGCTATTATTTGAGTTTGAGTGGTTTTTCTTTGTTTCTCAGAAAAAAAATGATATTAAGAATACATAAAAGGCTAAAACATTTTGATTCATCAAAGCTAGATTCAGTCTATCTACCTGGGACTTGTTCACAGATGTCAAGGTCCTGTGGGTCCTGTGCATGTATGGAGGGAATGGTTTCTGGTTTTAGAAGAACCGTTATCAAAATTCTCCCAGGAAAATTGTCTCTTTATCGAAGTGTAGCCCCTGGCCCATTCCCACAGAAACATTTGTTTCCACAGTGGAGTTTTTATACAGGTCTCCTAGGAACTGAAGTACCCAGTTATAGTGGAATGCTATTTTTCAAAATATCTGAAAATTGCAGATCTTCAGATTATAGGTAGCTTTGGTTTCCTTTTTTATACTTTTCTAAACTTCCCAATTTTATTTTATAGATGTTAATCATCTTAAAACATTCTAAAACTGAGACCTAGAGACATCACTAAGGCACTAAGCTTCAAGGCAGAGGGGGACCAGATGGCTTTTAGTCCAATGACTTCAGATTACAGCTAAAGAGACAGTCTGAGAGTCAAAGCCTGACAACCTTGTCCCTTGACCCAATGTCATGCACACAGGACCACTATCAGCCTCCAGGGTCCAGGCACACAGTACCAGCTGTACAGTGTCTTCCAGAACTTGACCTTCCTCTCCTTTTGCACAGTGTAGTCACAGATCTGTCAATTTACTATCCTCTACATGAAACCTGAAGCAAGGCATCCTCATGGAATGGCCACTTATGGTTTTCACTCCTGACTATACATTAGCATGGATCTAAACAATTTAAACTAAAGCAAAAGGGAACAGTCCTTGGGACCCACCCTTAATCAATTAAATCAGAATCGCTAAAGAAGAGTCTAAAGTCAAAATTTTTAAAGCTCAGTTAAAGTGTGCCCTTTACGTATGTCCTCTCATTCTATTTTCTTAACAACCCTATAGTGGAGAGGAGCATTACTCATTTCCCCTGTGATCCGGAGCGTAAACCACACGACGATTAAGACATTTGTACAGAGTCAAGCCTGTATGGATTCAAACCTGAGGAATCCAGTCTGGTTCCCAAGTCTGTAGTCATAACTCTATCTTTCCTCGTCACCTTCCAAGGCCAGGAACTGTGCTAGGCATATGAGCCTTGCAAGATCAGGCAAAAGGATGGGAGAAGTAAGCTCTCACAATTCCTTATGAAATGGGTTCCCCAGAGGCAGGCAGAATGCTAAGAAAGCCTCTGGTAAAGGGCAGAGGGTTACCAATTGTGTGTGTGTGGGGGGGGGGGTCATGAGATAGACAGAGCTGAAACCCAAAGACCTCTGAGCTGAAACCCAAAGAAGCTAACGTAAGTCTAAGGAAGGAAGAGAAGGAGCAAGGAGAATACTGCAATCAAGAAAAAGCAGGCAAATTAATGATGCTAAGCAAGAAAGTGAATGACAGGTTCAGTTACAAGAACAGTTGAAAGGACAAGCACACAAAAGCTTACCCACCTGCTGCTGGAAAGCACCAATGCCCTCAGGGTAGAGGTGCCTATGGGAGTGCAGGTAGCCAATGGCCATCCGGAGATTCTTCACAGTGATTACAGAGCCGTAAGCCAGGTCTGGAGGAAAAGAGGCATCAGATATATGACAGGCTGCCCCTGCCTTGTGGGTGGGCGGTAGCTGCAAGTCACAAGCCTCAAACATCTGCTTAGAGGTCATGGGGCCCAGGCCTGCCTAAAGCTGGAGTTCCAGCTGCCTTCTCACTCCAATGGAAGCAACTCAAGAGGGAGCTCCCTTCTGCCCACCACTGATCACTTTTGCTTCAGATTATACTCTCTCTCAGACTGCTCCTCCTTAGATCTTCTCATTCCTTTCTCTTGTATTCTCTTGTAACCTGTTTTGTTCTCTTCCCAGTTCTCATGCAGTCACTACCACAGCATCCGTATCTCACCTCCAAAATGTCTCCTAAACTCCACCGAACAAGTTTCAGTTCAAAGCTCCCTAAGGACTAACTCCACATTACTGCCCCTCCAAACCAGTGCTTTCTCTTGCTTTCCAAGTTCTCATTCCTTTCACAGCCTGTGGAGGCCACGGTGTTCCTGGTACTAGATACAGTAAGAGAACAAAATGGCAATCTTGCACTCAGGGCAGTGACACCTTTTTTCCTCTCCTGTCGGGTCCTCCTTGGGTATGCCCTTGGCTGTCCCTGATCCTTAGGGATCCTTGGGTACAGCCCTGCAATGACTTCCCAGTGGATGCCCCCACCCTCCTAGACATCTCGTACTTCTTTCCAGTCATGCTAACTCCACAATGCACAGCATTCCTAGCTGCCTGCCTCCTTAGAAACCTCCATGTGGTCTCCAATACCTTACTCAAGCATCTCAAATCTCATCATCTAGATCCCAACTCTTTTCTAACTTATGATTCCAGACTATGAATCTAATAACCTGTGACTTGAGTTTTACCCTGCCCTTAACTTTGAATGTGCCATCCCTTCTTGCCTAATATGACCTCTTGCTCTTCAACACCTACTGAACTATACTCATCCTTCTAGGTCCAACTCCAAGGCACACCTTTATATGCATGTATATGGGATCCCCTTGAACTGCCTCCTAGCACTGACTCAGCATGTGCTTCAGTCCCCAGTACTGCATTCCATCTCTTTTCTCTTTTTCTTTTAGAGACAGGGTCTATGTAGCTCTGGCTGTCCTGGAACTCACTATGTAAACCAGCCTGGCCTCAAACTCACAGAGCTCTACTTGCTTCTGCTGGGATTAAAGGCCACTAAGCCCGGTTCTTTTATGTACTTAACACATGAATGGAGGTCCTTCACATCACACTATATTTGGAGGGTGAATACCTGCTAATTACTCCCTGAGAATAAGTATATGCATAAAACTATCAGAACACTATGACAGCCTACAACTGCCCCTAGAGGCCTTGCTCTATGACCAGATTCTCTTGAAATGGCCTTCTTACAGAGCTAGCTTTGGAAGCTATAAAGAAGTTATTTTGAGTACTATAGTAATGGACTCTTGAGTATTTACACTATAATACTGGGTTTTTTCCCAGTATACTATATATAGGCTTAAAAAACCAAAGCTTCAGACTTGCTTTTTTCAAGTCAACTCCCAGGAAAAACCCCTCTGCCAAGCACTCACATTCGGGGATAGAAGCATTGTGAAGGCTGTTTCCTGAAAGCCGGGCTTGAAAGGAAGAACTGAAGAAGCCATCACCAGGACCACTGTGGGGAAAGGAGAAGCAGAAGAGAGTCAAGCAAGTTAAGAGACTAAAAGCTGCTATTTCCCAGAAACCCTTAGATGATTTAAAAGGAGACTTGAAAATCTGAATGGCAGGGTGGTTTCATGAAACAAACATGGATAATGGAGTTGGAGAAACTACAATCCAAATTTCAATTTCATTTCTGCCACTTAACTATCAGGCTGACTTGGGCAATATCCCTAACCTTATTTAGCCTTGATTTGTATTTATTAAATAGATGGATTTTTTTAAAGATTTTATTTATTTATTATGTATACAACATTCTGCTTCCATGTATATCTGCACACCAGAAGAGGGCACCAGATCTCATAACGGATGGCTGTGAGCCACCAAGTGGTTGCTGGGAACTGAACTCAGGACCTCTGAA